TGGTACTGGGGATCGAACTCCGGACCTTGCGCTTTTGAGGCAGGCGGTGGAACCACTGAGCTAAATCCCTGGCCCCCTTTCTCATTTTGTTTTTGTTTTTTTTGGTACTGAGGATCAAACTCCAGTCCTTGCGCTTGCGCAGCAGGCGGCAAAACTACTGAGCTAAATCCCTGGGCCCCCTTTCTCATTATTTATTTATTTATTTATTTTGTTTTTTTGAGATAGGGTCTCACTATGAGTTTAGGCTGGCCTTGAACTCTCTATATAGTCCAGACTAGCCTTGAGCTTGCATTGATCCTCTTGCCTCAGCTTCCTCAGTAACTGGGATTAGAAGCATGTGCTACCATGCCCAGCTTTATTTTTTGAGATCAGGTTTTACTAATTTCTAAATTGCCTATGCTGGGCTCGAAACTGCGGCCCTGCTGCCTCAGCCTTCTGGAGTGATGGGATTAGAGGCATAGGGCACCATACTTCACTGTTTATTTTTTATTATGGTTGTATTGTGCAGGTTGCTGTCAGACTTTTGAGCCTCCTTCCTCAACCTCCTGAGAAACTGGGATTATAGGTGTGTACCATTTTGTATGGCTTTTGCTTACTTTATTTTATTTTTTGAAGCAAAACATTTATTGGTACATTTAATTTTTTTTATTTTTAATTTTTTTTATTGGTACATTTTAGATATCCAGAACGATAACACTCATAGAGTTGCTTTATTTTTGGCATTTAAAAATTTTAAAATATGTATTATAAGCTTATTTTTAACATGTATTATCATGAACAATAGCTAACAATTGTGTGTAATATAGAAGAGGACTCAGCTTAGTCTTACATCAGAATCCACATTCTTGCTGGATGTGGTGGGCGCACACCTGTAATTCCTGCACTTGGGAGGCTGAGTCAGGAGGATCGCCACAAGTTTCAGGCCAGCTTGGGTTACATAGTAAGTTCAAGGCCAGCCTGGCCATACATAGTGAGATCCTGTCTCAACAAAAAGAGAAAAAAATGATTTACTTGATTCAAGCTTTCAGAGATCAGTCCATGGTGGGCTGGCTCCAAGGCAGGCATATCACAGTAGAAGGAAATGGAGCAAAACTGCTCACTCCATGGCATGGAGAAGCAGAGCACAGGGGTTGAGAGCCAGAGAGGAAGGGGCCAGGGATCGGGTATAGTTCCCCAAGTCAGATCTGTGTGACCCACCCAGACCCAAGCAGATATGTGCTTTAGTAATCCTCGAGGCATCTCTGAAGCCAGTCAAGATTCACCATCATAATCCTAAGTGGGTATTGAATTTTGTTAACTAATTTTTCTCAATTTTTTTTCTTTTCTTGGTACTGGGGATTGAATCTCAGTCCTTTTGTTATGTCTCCTGAGGGTAGATTTTTATTTAGAGTTCATACAAAAACCTACATCAATAAAAGAATTACAGGGCTGGGCATTTAGCTCAATGGTACTGCCACTTGCCTTGTAAGCGAAACGTCCTGAGTTTGACCCCCGGTACAAAAAATAATTAATAAATAAATACAAACAAAATAAAGGAATTACAGATACAAGTTTAGAAGGAGAAACAAAAAATTTTATTGGAAAAGGAAGTGAAATGGGGAAGCAAATTCATTTAAGTGGGAGGAGAGAAAATGAGTAGATACATATCTGTATTGTCGGATTAAGGTAGGGGACCCAGAGATGGCTCTGGAGAGGGAGTGTTTTTGTTCTCAGCCCCTTTTATTACATGGTAAAACAGGGCGTCTTCTCCCTTGAGAGTTGTTATAACTTGATTGGCTGTTCTGGGCTCTGAGACCCCTGATTTGCCATTGCCCTTTCCATTGCCTAAGTGTACGTGAAATTTTTGTTTTTGGCTTTTTTTTTTTTTTGTACCAGGGATCGAACTCGGGTCCTTGCGCTTGCAAGGCAGGCAACAGAACCACTGAACTAAATCCCAGGCCCCTAGAGTCTATTTTTTAAAAAATAATTTTAATCTGTGTCTGATAGGTCTCCTACTACCTCAGCAGCTATTATGTATAGTAGCTGCCCCCTTCCTATCGTGCCTTGCCCCCTCCCCTGTGTGACATCATGCCAAGATGGTTGCTCCCACCAAAGAATAAACCCTTCTTCCCAGCATGCCCCTGTTCCTGCCTAGAAAGTAACCTAATACTCGCTCACCTCCTACCACCTAGTGACATCACCAGCTCCTCCATTCCCTAGTCACTACTTCACTCAACCCCACCTCAGCCCCTACAAACCCCACCCTAGTATCTATAAAAGACTCTCCCTGCCCTGGCCATATTGCTTTGACTCTCCTTTGTTCAGAGACAGCCCGACAGATCTATTCCCCTAATAAAGGCTTGTTGTGGCCTGGTCTGGTCTTGGTCTTTGGCCCTTTTACCTGACAGTGTCTGTGAGGGATAATGGTCTATAATTTATTTGATGCCTATCTGGCTTAGTTATCAGTGCTTTTAGCATTATAAAATAGGAACTACAGTATTCCCTCTTCAGTGTTTCCTCATAGTCCGTATGAGATTAATATTGAGGGCTTTGAACGGAAGAGCTGTGAGACCTAAATAACTCCATCTTAAAATTTGACTCCATCTTAGAATAAGGCAGTAAAGTGGACTTGACATAAATTCCACTTCGCTGGAGTCAACTATTCCCCTAGTCTCCTTTGTGCCCATAAAGTAATGATAAAATGTCCTTGCTCTGGGACAACAGATAAAAAGGACACAGCTCCTAATTCAATCCTCTGTTTGCCCAGAAAACAGACTCTCCCGGGCCCATTATCTATGTGCTGACCATGAACATTCTGTCAATGAGCTGATTGTTCCTTTTTTATAAAAGCTACATGTAGCCGCCCCTCAACCCCCCAACCCCCCCCCACACACACCCCATACTTGCTAAATATCAACCAATCATGTAACTGCTAAATGGAAAATCCCCAAACCTTGCTGTAGCCACAATAAAAACCCTGCTGATTTAAAATTCGGGGCTCTCAATCCTGATCCGCTGCGCCGGTGATGGTTGTGAGTCCCTGCTCGAGCTTGAATAAACGACCCTCGTGTGTTTGCATCGGAATCGGCTCCTTTGGTGGTCTTTGGGGACTTCGCGATCTGGGCACAACAGAGCGACCCCACCTGTCGGGTTTAGCGGGCTGTCTCTGGCTGCTGCGTTAACAGACTGGGGGAGCAAGTCTTGCGGGGAGGAGAGAAGAAAGGCTTGTCCAAAGCGGTAGCACTAGGGGTGGTAAGAGGGGGGCGGGTTCTAAATATATATATTTAGACTTTTTTTATTTTTTGTTTTGAGACAAGTTCTTGCTGATTCATTAAGTTTCCCAGGATGGGCTTGAACCTGCTGTCTTGCTGCCTGCCTCAGTTTTACAGTCTAAAAACACTTTTAAGGAAATAACAAGAAGATGTGCTGGTTGATTGGATATAGGATATGAAAGGAAAGAAAGAAAATGATGACTTCTAAATCTGGTCTGTTTTTCTCCTTTCATACTTTTTCATCTATTGAAAAATACAATCCAAGGGACTGTTCTTTGCTCCTCCTTTCTGTGAGTTCCACTCACACATAGGGAAGTTGGGGTATCAATATATCAAGGTAACCCCGGTACAAAAAAATATATATATATCTATATATATATCTCTCTCTATATATAGATATATATATATATCTCTCTATATATATCAAGATACCTAGAATCATGAAGGAAGAAGTGGTTTCCCTTTTGAATTTTTCTTCTTAAAGTTATATTATGAAAAGTTTCTTAATCATGCATGGTGGCACATACCTGTAATCCCAGCAGTCTGTCAGAAAGAGGCAGAATGATCCCAAGTTTGAACACTGTCTGGAAAAATTAGCAATTTAGGGAGACCCTGTATCAAAATAAAAATTTTTTAAAAGGGCTAGGGGGAATGTAACTCAGTGTCAAGGCCCTTATTGAAAGGAAGGAAGGAAGGAGGGAAGAAAAGAGAGAGAAACTAAAGCTTCAAATGTAAACTAAAATAGAATAATTTTGTGTATACCCATTTAACTATACCAGCTTCATCAGTGATCAATTGAAATATGAACTTTGTATCCCTTTATTTCCTAAATCATTGTTGTTTTGAAGCAAATTCCGTATTTCATAGTACAGATTGAATATTCCTCATCTGATTTGTTGTTGATATTTTTCTTTTTTTCAGTACCGGGGATTGAACTCAGGACCTTACACTTTTGAGGTAGGCAGCTGAACCACTGAGCTACATCCCTGGCCCCTATTGTTGTTGTTTTGAGACAGGGTCTCACTATGCAGTTGAGGCTGGCCTTGAACTCACTATGTAGCCCAGGATGGCCTCAAACTTGTGGCAATCCTCCTGCCTCAGCCTCCCTAGTGCTGCAATTACAGGTGTCCGCCACCATGCCTGGCTCCTCATCTGAAATGGTTGGGACTAGAAAAGAAGTGTTTTTAGGTTTTGGAGGTTTTTCTGGTTGGGGGGATACTTGCATAGACTTTAGTGGTTGAACATTTCTAATCTGAAAATCCAAAATCTGAAATGCTATGATCCAAACTTTTTTTGTGTTATGTCAGCTCTTAAATTTCAGATGTCAGAGCACTTGAGATTTGGGGGTTTTGTTTGTTTGTTTTGATTTTTGAGACAGGGTCTTGGTGTATAGTTCAGTCTGGCCTCGAACTCTCAGTGCAACCCAAGCTTGCCTCAAACTTGTGACAGTTCTCCTGCGTCAGCCTTCAGAGTGCTGGGATTACAGATGTGTGCCACTGTGCCTGATTCAATTTTAGAAAAAAAAAATTTCTTTTGAGACAGGGTCTAGTATGTAGTTCAGGCTGTCCTTGAAGTCACAGCTGTGTATCCCAGGCTGGGCCTCAAGCATTCGGTGATCCTCCTGTTTCAGCTTCTCAAACATTTAGTCAACATTTAGGCTTTTTTTTTTGGTACCGGGGATTAAATTCAGGTCTTTGTGCTTGCGGCGGAACCACTGAGCTAAATCCTCGCCCCCCCCCTTTTAAAATTGGTACATTTTAGGTATATAATATAATGATATTCATCATTGGAAATTTGCACCTTTACATAATCTCTCCTGGTTCTTACTTTTTCCCCATTCCCCTGCCTTCCCTTCAACCCCTTCATCCCTCCCTATTTACAAAGACTTTGTTTCCAGTTTTTCATTCTCTCATATTAATTCTATTCTCTTCTTTCCTTTCCTCTACTCCTCCCACTTCCCCTTCCCCTTTGCCCCTTTTCTTCCTATTTCACATTATGTATTATACTTTTTAGTCCTTATTTACACTTTTAGTTTCTCACACCAGAGAAACTATTCGGTATTTACATATGTGTGTCCTATTTATTTCACTTAAGAGTACTGCCTCAATGTGCATCCATTTAGCTATAAATGTGTCTAATTTCTCATTTTTTATGGCTCAGTAGTATTCCATTTTATAAAATAACCCCACATTTTCTTTATCCAGTTTCCAATTGATGGGCAGTTGGGCTGCTTCCAAGCTTTAGCTATTACAAACTGTGTTGCTATGAACATGGGTGCACATATATCACTGTGGCATGATTCTTTTAATTCTTTGGGGAAGATACCCAGCAGGGGAATAGCTGGGTCAAATGGGACTTCCAGTCCTAGTTCTTGGAGGTATCTCCATACTGATTTCCACAGAGGTTGCACCAGTCTACACTCCCACCAGCAGTGGAGCAGGGTTCCTCTTTCCCTGCAGCCACACCAGCATTTGTTATTGGTTGATTTCATGATAGCAGCCATTCTTTCTGGGGTGAGGTGGAATTTCAGCGTTGTTTTCATCTGCATCTCTCAAATGACCCATGGTGTTGAACATTTTTTCATATGCTTATTTGCTATTTCTGCTTCTTTGTGTGAGAAATGTCTGTTCATTTCAGATGCCCATTTTTGGATTGGGTTTTTAAATTTGGGAGGTCCGATTTTTTTAAGTTCTTTATAGATTCTAGATATTAGACCTCTGTCTGAGGAACAGCAGGTGAAGATTTTTTCCCACATTGTGAGTTGTCTCTTCATACTGGTGGTGGTTTCTCTTCTGTGTAGAAGCTTTTTAATAAGAAGAGATCCCACTTGTTGATTGTCACAACTGAGGTTTTCTTCATAAAATCTTTTCCTACACCAGTGTCTTCAAGAGACCTACCTAACCTCTGTTCCAGGCGGTTTAGCATTTCTGTTTTAATATTTAGATCTTTAATCCGTTTCGATTTTAGTTCTGCCTCAGAGGTTTCTCAAGTGCTGGGATTATAGGTGTGTGTCACCATGCCTGGGTAATTTCTTTCACATGATTTTTTTTTTCTGGTACTGGACCTTGTGCTTGCAAGGATTTAGCCACTGAGCTAAATCCCCAGCAACATATTTTTGATGTTCATGAATATTGTTACCTTTATTGCAAATTCCTTTTTATTGCTGAACACTATTCTGTTGTGTATGGGAATATCACATGTTGTTTACCCTTCTTTCTTTATGTAGACTCCTGGGTTATTCTACCTTGGGGCTATAGTGAATAATGCTGCAGTGAACATTTGGATAAAAGTTATTACATATGTGATAGCCAACCTGACTCCATTTGTATAAATTTGAGTAATTCCAGGTGGTCACCTTCCCCTTCTCCCTTGTGAGTCCTCTCAGTGAATGCATGACAGAGTGCCCCATCCTGTGTGAATCTGCAAATATGTTATCTTTACTTCCTTGTAAACAGAAGACCCCGCACCTGTGTGACATTTTGTTTTAATTAAACTGTATGAAACTGCCCCTGAACCCCACTGTCTTAACAAAGTTCTGCTCCTGTAAAGTTCAGCTTGTGCTCTCCCTCTCCCTGAACCCTCCCAAATAGAAGAGCCCTTAAATGGACCCTGCAAACTGCTTTTCCTTTGTCCAGAGTCTTTTTGGCATGAGCCACTCTGAATCTGCTGGCTTATAATAAAAGATTCTATTTAAGTCAGAGTGTGGCGCTTCTCTATATTTCCAACTCCCCGGCCCTATTACACACAAACATGGTTTCATTTCCCTTGGATGAATATATAGGAGTGGAATGTTCAAGCTATATGATAAGTATATGTTTATCTTTTTCAAACTGTCAAACTGTTTTCCAAAAGAGCCATTGCCATTTTACATTCTTCTATTTTTTTTTTTTTCTTTTCGTACTGGGGATCGAACTCAGGTTCTTGAGCTTGCACGGCAGGGAGCCGAACCACTGAGCTAAGTCCCCTGCCTGCTCTTTTACATTCTTACCAGCAACATATCAGGTTCTCACTTTCACCACATCCTAGGCAGCATTTGATATTGTCAGCTTGTTTTGGTTTTGAACCCAGGATTTTGAGCATACTCAGCAAGCACTATAACACTGAGCCATTGTCCCAGCTCTGTCCCAGCTCTGTCCCAGCTCTGTCATCTTGTTTTTGTTTGATTTTGGTACCGGAGATCGAATTCGGATCCTCGTGCTTGCAAGGCAGGCGACAGAACCACTGAGCTAAATCCCCGGCCCTCTGTCATCTTGTTGAGTAGGATTCTTTTGGTCCTAATGGAACTCTGAAAATGATATCCCAAAGTGCAGGCCTCAGAAGCAGAATAAGAGGCCAGGTTTCTCTCTCACCTTCTTCTGACCTCCTGTCTCACCCCCTCATTCTCCCCTGAGGCAAGTCAAAGAAAATAGACTTGTAGAAATCAGAACCCTTAGAAACCCATCAGAACCCATAGAAATCAGCTAGACATAAAGAAATTCTCTAGTGACCTTGATTATATGTTAAAAGACCCCCATTTAAGAAAGTGTCCTCTAGGGCTTGGGATTTAGCTCAAGGGCACAGCGCCTGCCTGGGAAGCTCTAGGTCCTGAGTTTGATCCCTGGTATCAAAAAAAAAAAAAAAAAAAAAAGAAAGTGACCTATCATCTCATAATAGGAAGTAAGGAAAGCTGGAGAGAGGCCAAGAATAAAATGGATAGATAGACTACTGGGTTTCCTCTTATGCTTTATGTCCTGGCATATTTCTTTCTTTCTTTTTTTCCTTTTTTTTGGTACCAGGAATCGAACTTGGGACCTTGTGCTTGTGCGGCAGGACACTGGAACCACTGAGCTAAATCCCCGCCCCTGTCCTGGCATATTTCTACATGGCTATTCGTGCTTCGTGGAACCTAAAACTAAAAATGGATAGTTCACCATTTGGTTCTCTGGGTTTTCATTTTGAAGCCTTCTGTTTCTTTTTTGGTGTTTATGTGTGTTTTTGAGACAAGGTCTTGCTATATAGTTCAGGCTGGCCTTGAACTCACTATGTACCCCAGACTGGACTCGAACTCACAGTGATTCCTTGTTTTTGAATTAGATGACCCGGTGGCTAGGTATCAGAAGGAATGTGCAGCCAGACATAGTGGTGCACACCTGTAATCACAGCACTCGGGAGGCTGAGGCAGGAGGATCGCCATGAATTGGAGGCGAGCCTGGACTACATGGTTTAGCCAGTCATAATGATATTGTGTCTCAAAAAAAAAAAAAAAGAAAGAAAGAATGCACACAATATCTAATGCCATTGGGATGTGTGGGATGGTTTAGGTCTGAGACCTAACAAATGATTATAAATGTATTATACATTGAAATATGTTTCTTTGCTTAGCTGGCAGAGCATGCTATTTTGCACCCCCCTTCATCCCTCAGCCCTCTAATGTCTAACTTGGTAGTTAACCTAACATGTTGGACACCTGTAGTCAAGCTACAGTGAACCCTCAAGTTAGGACCAGACTGACATATGAACAACTTGGGTTAGCCCAGAATTTTAGTTGTAACTTATGAACAAAGTATTGAGTTACGACCCAAATGCTGGTCACTTGTACTTCCAGAGGGTCTCAGATACAGATTTAACCCTTAGAGCTCTGGAAGGAACATTACAACATCCTTTCCTGTGCGGGGTTAATTGAGAAATCCTGGGCCAATGTCTCTCTAAGGACACTGTCATCTGCCTGGAAGAAAATGTGGCCTAAAATTATACAGGAGTGAGACTTTGAGGCTGTGTAGAGGAGCCTGACCAACTTGAGTTACAACCAGGCCTTGGGAACAAATTGAATGTACGTCAACAGTCTACTGAACTTGGAAGGCTGAGGCAGGAGGATTCTAAGTTCCAGGCTAGCCTAAGCAACTTAGTGAAACCCTGTCTCAAAAAAGAGGAGAGGCTTCAGCTGTAGCTCAGGTGTAGACTGCTTGCCTAGCACACTCAAAGCCCTGGGTTCAGTCATTAGTACTGGCCCCCTCAAAGAAGCCAGAAAAGAGACAAACATGTATCTAGATAGCACACAGACCTGAACCTACAGTGCTCATCTTTCCATGGCCAAATCTTATCTCCCCTTTTGTTTCCTTCCTTCACATTTATTTTAATTATACATAGACTTATTGAAAAGTAAGTAGTACACATAAATATTCTCTTAACTTCTCACCTGAACCCCAGTTATCCCTTTATACTTTCCAGACCTTTGGTTCTCCTTTCATAAGTAGTAGTGTATTGTGTCTTCTCCCTTCTTCAGACCCGACTCAAAATATCATCCTGTTATAGAAAATAATACTGGAGATGAAATATGAAATATTATAACTCCCAACCTGTTAATTATATGATACACCAAGTTCATGTTCTCTAGAAATCGAAGAATGAGTCCTAGGAACAACAGAGGTTAAGAGTAGGAAGATGTTTATTGATAGGAAAGCTCCTGAGGGGCACAAGGGGTCCCTAGTGGGTAGCCCAGGGACCCCACTTTACAGAAGAGCTTTATAGGGTGAAACCCATGTGGGTACAATGTGGGCCATAGCCGTGAACATCCAATAAGGTTAAAAGTATAGCCACTTAGGTAACAGCGGTCCAACTGGAAAACGAGTCCCGTGACGTGTGGATGGAAAGAATAGACTCCCCTAGGAAGTGGTGGGTCCAGAAGTCTCTGGTCACCCATCGGGGAGGCTGATGTCTGTCTAGACTTCATTAGGCCCAGTGTTTGTTTTTTGAAGAAGTATGTACATGTGGTCATCTTCTCTGTATCCTGTGGCCTGGTTTCCAACTGATATGTCTTCATTTGCTGCTGTGGTGTTTCTCCTTTGTCCTGACCTTCTTGAGTACCTAGTCCTAACTGACTGCCTATAATTTTACAGGAAATGCTACAGCTCTCAGCAAGTGCTACAGCAGACAAAGACCAAGAAGCCAGCAGTACCCAAGGTTTTGAGGCAGTTGTACACCTGTATCAATGCCGGCAGTCCTGGCTGGGATCACTCCCGAAGAGTCAGTCCCTGAAAGCACAGTGTGCAGGGTCTTTGCAGGGTTTGTGAGCAAGCAGGAAATACAGAAGAGGAGGGCTTGTTGTTAGTTGATTGGACAGAAAGTTGCATTGAGTTTCACCCTTTTCACATATGGTAGGAACAGGAAGGTGTTACATGATTGGTCAAAAAGTTACATTCTGATTTCACCTATTTTACATATGGTGGGAAGAGGGTCAAAAGGTTACACCATTCTGGGGAAACAAACTCATTGAGACCAAAAGACTTACTGAAGGGATCTCCCAACTGGGAGCAAGTATATTTTCTGCTCTAATAATATTTCTGCCTAGCTCTTGTATCTATAATAATACTTTCTAAAGGCTAGGGATACATAGCTTAGCGGTGGAGTGCTTGCTTGGTACATGCAACTCCCTGAGTTCAGTGTCCAGCGCTGCAAAAGAAAAAAAAAAAAAGAAAGTCATCCTTTCTAGAGACTGCTTTTATTCTCTCTGAAGAAGTAAACCTTGTTGGGAAAGAGTCATTGTGTGAAAAAAGCTAGTATCATCCTTGGGCAGGGGCCTCTTGGTTTAAGAAACCCTTATAGAATAGTGAGGGTGACTAGGAGTTCTCAAGATGAGGGTTAAAAATAAAAGTTGGAGAATGGATGTTTCATTTTAATTTGCCGTATTTCCCATAGCCTTCAGGTTCTGTGGAAAGAAGGCTTGACTCTTAAGAACTCTTATATCCCCAACAATAGGAATGCAGCAAGTGCTTGTTGAATTAATGAGTAAAATGGGCCAGTCTGTTTCAAAGACTTGACTTTATTAAGGACCATGAGGCTGGGTATAAGACCACTAATGGGGGAGAAGGATTGGATTTATTTCTGAATACAGCAGAGATTTATTGATACCAAGGACAGCTGTGTGGGGTTCAGCAGATGCCAAACGAGCACGAGCCAGCAGGGGTGTGTGGGGGTGGGGTGGGGTGGGGTGAGCGGAATGGCAGTTGTGGGACCAAAATGACTCCATTTTGGAGCCGTCTCCTTTGTTCTCTCAAATTTGTGCTTAAACTAGGAATTCACCACTTGAAATTCCTGAGTTTATTACCCAACCACCTGTGTGCCCAGAGAAAGAGCATTCCGGGCACACTATCTGTAGGATAAGCAGTTAATGAGCTGACTGTCCACACAAGATAGATGCGGCCATTAGTTAGTGGGTCTGCTAACGATCAGTATGTAACAACCGGCCGTTAATCCTTGCTCCTTTCTCCCTCACAAAAACCAATACGTAATCCCCTTCGACCCCCAAAGCCTAGCCAACCAAAACCCTACACTTCATATGTATTAAGTATTAACCAATCACCTGGCTACTAATAACCAAAGCTTGTTGTATTCTCAATAAAAACCCTGCTAGTTTGGGACTCAGGGCTCTCAATCTCGATCCGCTGTGTCGATGACAATTGAGAGTCCCTGTTTAAGCTTGAATAAACGACCCTTGTGTGCTTACATCGGAAACGGCCTCCTGGTGGTCTTTGGGACCTCACAATCTGGGCACAACACAGTTACACCAACCTGGCCGGACGCTTGCTGAGGCCTGGCCCTGTGATCAGACGTGGGGGTGGGG